CAAAGGCCTTTACAACCCCATTACCTTCCGTGGGGCAACAAGGATCTAGTTGCAGATGAGATCTGGACTGGTGGCTGGAAATGCCCTGATGTCTTTAGCACGCATGGTAGCTACAGATGAAAGCTGCTTGGGGGGATCTGTCGAAAGGCAGTCACCTCACTGTCTGCTGCGTTTTGTTTCTGGGTCATTTGTAGAGCTCTACACCTTTGAGCAGCACTGGCCTTGCCTCGGCAAGATATTTGCCCCAGTGTGATGAGAAGAAACTAGAAGGATGCCTTTCTGAGCACGTTTTACCTTGCGCGGCTATGGCAGAGGGCCAATTCTAGCAACCCAGCAAATGCTGCCCTCATCTCGATGAGTACTACCCCACCGAAATCTTTGAAACCAGAATAATTTCCATAAACGAGACGACCCCACACCAGGTTCTTCCCAGGGAGACTTTATGTATTTGTTCTCTTTCGCTGCTTTTTTCCCTGCAGGGAAAGCCAGCTTGTCACCAGGACATAGGACAGGATGGAACCACCCCAGGCTCTGATTTTGCTCCAACAGGGTTGCAGATTAGTTCGCCTCAATCCCGCTAAGGAAAATACCATCTTTTCTCATGTTCAAGACACCCGAGCACATAAGACGCGCCTTGCTTTTGAAAGGCCAAATGAAGAAAAGAAATCTTTCCTTGCTATAAGTAACTGAGTAGCAGCAGCGAGGGAGCTGAGCCTGTTCACTGTCGATTTTGGGTTTCAGCCAGTTAGCGGCAGAACCTGCTCTTACCGTATTTCCCAGATATAATGCATGCTCCAATTTCCAGCTGCTGGTTTTTGGGGAAAAGGTGTGTTGTATGCGGGAAAGTAGGGTACTTGCACTGTTCAAAGCCACCTGATTGATCTGGACACCCAATCCCTCTTTTGAATTTTACCCTAAATATCTAGAACATAGAGAGAGGCAAGAGAGTAGAGAGTTTGTGCCAGGTAGGGTTGCATCTACTGATCCCGTCCTCGGCCATTGCAAGGTTTCGCAGCTAAGCACAGCGGGAGAATGCATTTCCCTCACTTTGTTGGTGAACAAGATGTTCCTAACCATAAGCAAAGAGCCGCTGTAGGAGCTGTTATTCTGCGGTATGTGATCCTTGTGGCTTCTGACATTCAAGTTATTTAGGAGAGAGCCAAGAAGGGGCAAAGATAGCAAGCAGCACTGGCCATATGTGAGAGGCCAGCTTCCTCTTGCGCCGTGTCAGAGCATCGAGATGCCCCAGCGCCAAGCAGACGTACAAGCCAAAGACCTAGAAAAGCAAGCTTATTTTTTAAATTATTTTAGAAAAGCGAGCTTATTTTTTAAATTATTTAAGTCCTCCCCTAAGAAATACAAAGCCAGAGTTCAGTGTGGTGCACAGGGACCTGGTGGAGCTTATTAAAGTAACAGGCACATTAAAATTCACAGGTGAGGGTTTAAAAAAAAAAAAGGTCTGTAACTAGAGAAATATCCCTGATACCTTCTGGCATCCTAGAGAGATGCAAATACGGGGACCTCATCCAGCTGTCTTTCAGGGGCCAAAGTCCCATTGCCTGCTCTGGGAGTTTCACCCGAGTAAAACGTGCAGGATTCGGCCTGTGCTTGTCACTGCAATTAACATTTAGATCCACATTTAACACGAATTCTTACAGGCTGGTTAGGGAGAAATTTAATTTGATCTTAACAGCTTGGCAGGAGAGGAGTGTGAAATACTCGAGTTACGGTAGTTCCATATTTTCTAGCCTACGAAGGTGTATTTTCGGTAGGGAGTCTAATGATCCGTGTACATTGTGTGTGTGCATATGCTCTCTGCTTTGGGATGAAGTTTGGGACCGGATCCTCAGCTGCTGTGTGATGGTGATGAATCTTATTGATGCCAGCCAATGGTTTGGCCCATTATTCCCGCTTTGTCCCTCCATCCATCTACGCGGACACATGCAAATTCACACTGGTTCAGATTTCTCTTTCTGTTGCATTGCCGTGACCCCTTTGACTGGAATGGCGCTTTCAGCAAAAGGGAAATTTGAATCTATCTGCAGTCACACACATTTTCCTTCATCGCTCCAAAGAAGGCCAGGGGTTCATTGGCCATATAAATTAGTTTAACCCTTGTTATATTAGTGCATGGAGACACAATTGATTAGAACTTACTTCAGATTTATTTAAATTGATCTCTGCTTTTGCATGGCTGGGTGTTGAACACATGCACATGCTAAATCCCTGACTTTCCAACAGCCGCAAGCAGACAGAGACATTGAACTTGAGTTTCTCTAACACCCAACCCCCTTTTATAATTTTTTTCCCAGGAGTTAAAATAACTCAGCCATAAAAAACTGACTTGGAGATGAAACTTGGCATGCAAAGTCCCAGCCCAGGAGCAAATGAAGTTACTGGTTATAAACACACACGTACCAAAATCTGTTTGGGCATGCTTAAATTACAGGAGCAGAGGATAAAAAGGATTGAGGTACTTGACTTTGCTTTAACTTCTGAATGAGTGTCACTTTGCAGCTGTTTGCTTCTGACATGGAACGGGGCCTGTTGGTATTTTTAATTCCTGCTGTAATTAAACCTGATGAATTGTAAGGTGTTGCTATTACTTGTTGGGCAGGAGAAGGAGGGGGAGGACGTTCTTCTAGAGCTGTCTGGATGGGGATGCTGTGGGGTTCGGCAGGTCTCTGCCCCATACGTGACTGCATGGCTGTGATTTCAACCCCCACCCTACTCTGCACAGAGGGGAAGGCAAGTCCCTGCCCCAGACACAAGCTCACTGGAGACTTTGCTGGACTTGTAAATTGACTTGGCCCTTCCCTATCCTCACTTAGAGAGACTCAAATACCACAATGATGGGCACAAGGTAGACGGACAGAAAGCAGGGTGCCAAGGGTGAAAGGCAGGTGGACAGGCAGTGGCACCACCCACAGCAGTGAAAATGAGTTGTAGTCTGGGGCACGTTCCTTATGAGGACAGGCTGAGAGAACTGAGTTTATTTAGTGGGAAGAAGAGAAGATTGAGGCCGGATTTAATAGCAGCCTTCAGCTCCCTGCAGGGGGTTGCAAAGAGGATGGATCTGGACTGTTCTTGGTGGGGACAGACGACAGGACAAGGAGCAATGGGCTCAAGCTGCAGCAAGGAAAGTTGAGGTTGGATATTAGCAAAAACTTGCTCACTAGGAGGGAGGTGAAGCACTGCACCAGGCTACTCGGAGAGGTGGTGGACTCTCCATCCTTGGAGGTTTTTAAGGCCCAGCTCAACAAAGCCCTGGCTGGGATGATGTAGTTGGGGCTGGTCCTGCTTGGAGCAGGGGGTTGGACTAGATGTGGCCTCCTGAGGTCCGTTCCAATCTTTATTTTCTATGATTTTATGACTTGTATATTAAGCAAATTTTCCTCACCAAGCGAGGGCTGGGTCATACGGTCCTTCCCACACAGAGCCTCCCTCCTCTGAGTACTCTCCTCTGTTGCAAGAAAACTAGGCAGGTGGGTTGGGGGTCCTGGACTCAGATCTCCGTGGTGCTTTCACAGACCACGTCCCACCCAGCGTATTGGTGAGAGCCTGAGTTCAGACAAAGCAGTTGTTCTCTGTCATTTTGGGCTTTGTGTCCTCTCGTGTCACTCATTGCATGCCTGTGTCCCCACAGCCTGCGTGTGATTGCAACCCCTGGAATAAGCCTACTCGTTATACGCTCTGTGGCCCTCCGTGGAAGGGTTCAGTATGATATTTAACATGCTTAACGTAGAGCAAAGTGGTTTTGGTCCATCCAGCCGCTCGTGCACGTGCTGGAAGGGCTGAGCATCCTTTCTGGGAGCTGGCTAGCAGGCACACGGTGCAGACACAGTTAAAAGCAGAGGGGAGGTTGCACCTGAAAGGCTGTGACGGTGGCACGTGGGTACGTGAGTTCTCAGATAAACTGCACGCCCCCGCAAACAGTTATTGACTTGTATGTGGTTTACAGGAAATGAAATAAACTGTTTTCAAAGAGCAGTTGGATTTTGCCCAAAACTGAAACCCCTTAGAGATCGAATTCACAGACTGGCAGGACCTGGTGCCTTCCTTCGCTTCCAGCTTCATGGCTTGCGTTGGGACGTCAGCAGATTTTCTAATGTGTGTGTGCATATCTATAACCACCGGACGGACAATGCAGGGTGTCTTATCTACTTCTGCACCCATTGCTTTTCCCTGTAAGGCTGAGAGTTTTCCAAAACTTCCTGACCAACAGGAAAGCCCTGTATTCCCACGAGCACGCAATGCCTTGATGGGCGCTTGTGCCCTTCACTCGCGTGAGTTGTCCCACCGAAATAGTGGCGCTCTACTCCAAGCTGGTGAGGTCCAGGGGGAAAGACGGGCTCAGGCATTACAAACTGGGCCTCTGGGCTTGACGGGCTGTGGGGGGTCACAGGTGGGCAGATAAGATGCCAGCCCCATGCCTCGCTAGCTGCTGGCTCCGGACACAGGTGGACATTCATCACCCCGGCTGGACGAAGGGGCTTGAGAAGACCTGACCGCAAATCGGACGGGAGTGCCCGATACCCCTGAAACCGACCCCGCAAAAGCACCGGCCCCATCTGCTCCTGTCCCGCACGCCTGCCCTGACGCTTAGGTCTCTAACTGGACAGAGGGGTCTGCGATCTTGGCCCCTTGCCCACCTTTTCCCTTGATAATCTTCTCCTTTATCCTTTCCCTAATCCTTTCTTCACATCTGCAGGGCGCGCCGCCCGCCTGGGCCGCTGCCTGCTGTCCTGGGGCTTGTCGGGAGCCTGAGCCATGCCAGCGGCATGCTCGGGAGGATGCCCACCCCGCCGCCACCCCCGTGCCAGGCCAGAGGGGACCCAGGCGGAGCCGCGGCCCCTTTCCCGGGGCTGGGGGCAGTGGCAGCTGTCGCTGCTGGCGGGTTGGCCGTCCCACTCCCCCCTGCCGGGGTCCCCTTTGCATTTCAGCTCCTGTAGTTGGCATAGAGAGCCGCACAGACACAAGTACTTTAGTTACATTGTTGGGCGAGTTTGAAACAACTCCCTCTGCCTTGGCCTTCCACGCATTGTCACTGGATTTTCTAGGCGCGTGTGTCCTGCTCTCTTCCTCCTTTGCCTTTTGCTTTCCAGCTCTTGCTTCTGATCCTTTCTTCTTTTATTTTTCCCCCCTCTCTCTCTCTCTCTTTTTTTTTTGCTTTGATTTCTCCCTCCCCCTTTTGGGCTTCCCCATTGTCCCCCCAGCCTCTGGCATGAGTTAAACACCAGCGATGGACACCAAACATTTCCTGCCACTGGGTGAGTCGCTTTGCAAAGCTTTTCTTGATTTTTTATTTTTTAATTTCTGGAATTTTATTTCTTGATGTTTGGTTTTTTTTTTTCCCCTTGATTTTTTTTTTTTGGCGTCGATTCCCCTGCCAATCTGGGGGCGAAGGGGAGGGGGGAAGTGCTGGGTTTGGGGTCTGGGGGTGCAGCCGCCCCGGGGCAGGGAGCAGCTGGGAGTTGGTGGCAGTTTCCTGGCTGGACGGAGCAGGGCAGTGGAGGGGGGGGACCTTCTTCCAGCCTCCCGGTTGCAAGGCTTTCCCTGCGTTTGTAGTGAGCTGCACTGGGTTTTGCAAGCTGGGAATCCCGGATTATGCTGCTGCCCAGCTGGGGAGGGTGGACAGGAGCAGGGGGGAGAGTTGTGGGGGTTTTTTATTTCTTTACTGATTCCAGGGAGGGGGTGGGAAAAAGTGCTGCTGGGGGTGGAGGGGATGGGGCTTTGCAAACGTGGGCAGAAGCTGAGCAGGGCCGGAGGAGAAGGGAGAGCAGGGAAGCCGCCTGGAAAAGTGGGGGCTGAGACTCAGCTCCAAGGTGCCTGGCTGGAGGCAAGCGCACAAGACACAGCAGCACCAGCTCTGAGCTTGTGTCTGTGTTGCACTGGGTTTGCGTGTGTCATAATGTCCCCCCGGGACATTTTATTTTTTCCTCCCCCCTTCTTGCCTTTATTGATGGGGCTGGTCCCCTCCTTTCTTCCCCCCCCCCCTGTAC